CGGGGTCGCCGGTCCCTGGGACGAGGTGAAGGACTCTTCGAGTTCCCGTTCTGGTCTTCCCGCGGAGGGGACCTTAGCGGGACCTCGTGCTCTAGTGTGCCAATTCGTGCGTTCTGTTGAAATAACAACTGGTTCGTCTGGTTTATGATCACGAAGAGGGCGGTCACAGTCGGGTCCGCTCTGGCCGGGACAAGAATGGGATGGAATGCTGCTGGGCTCCGGGGTCGGTGGACAGCCTGGTGTGCAGCTTCCGCAGACGAAGGGGAGGCAGTCTGGTCGTCTCTCTCGTCGGTCTCCGGAGGACGGGACATCTCCGTTTGCTTGCTGCCGTTCGCGGCAGGGGTGAGGATGAAGTTGTGAACGACATCGTCGTGGTGTGGGATAGCCATGATCGTAGAGTGTTGGTGAAAACTTTGGTTCGCTGCTCGGAGGAACGGGGAAGTTTCAGATTCCCACAGACGGCGCCACTGATCTGACCTGATCAGAAGGGGATCACTAGCTGGCCACACTCTGTTAGGCTGCTGCCTGTTCACCGGTGATGAGGATGAGGATGAGGTGTACCTGCAAGATACTCCGATGCCAAAGTAAGTGTATAAGCAGAGTGATCACAAGTACAAAAAAAGGGTAAGAAGTGAATTACCTGACCCTATTGTGAAAGAAGGTATTTATAGAGAGACCCCAGCGCTGGGCCAACGGTCACTTGTGTTGGTCTGGATTGCCAGACCCAACCCAGGTGACTGCTAGGGCTTACATGGCGTAGTGAAGGCCAGAACGTGGTCTTCGCCCTAGTTCAACTGTCCCGTGATCTCCGGAACGTGGGTTTGACCTGCTCTTTCGGAGGTGGGCAGTTGGTTAGTGACGTGTCCCCACGGAGGGGGGCACGTGTAGAACGTGTGAAGGACACGTAGTCTTGCCCTCTATCGGGCAGGTTCTGCCCGCGGAGGGGGCAGTGTTTGGTCGAAGGGGGAGTCTTGTGCCCGACGTAGCTGAGGCAGGTCCTGCCCGCGGAGGGACATTTCCTGCTCGTCGGGGACCCTGTGCCTGACGCTGCGGCCCAAGCTGAACTGAGCTTGGCAGAATATTATTGGGTTGGGCCTGCGTGGCCAGGCAGGGGCCCAGGCCAGAACAGGTTTGTTTTAAGGTGCCTGGATTATGCAAGTTTTGTTTGAATTATGGCTAGTTCTTGATCAAAGTAACATTTTGGTGCAAATTTTAGACTGTTGTGATTTTACAGGTAATGTAGCAGGATTTCATTTTTTGTTTCTGCTTTGATGGTGTTGTCCTTGTTAAGAATAAAAAGAATATGAGTACAACTACATCACGTGAAAACAACAAGAGGGAGTATCAATAGGTGCAAAGACATTTTGATCACATTTTATATTTTTCTTTTTTTATGCTAAAAGGTGGAAAGTTGGGTTGTAATGTAGAAAGTGAAGAAGCATTGGTGGTTATGCATTTTTGGATTGTATCAGAAAACTCTTTTTCTATTATTTTTCTTTATTTTTTTTGTAATGTAATAATTATTATAAGATAAAAGTGAGACTAGAAAAAACAATAAGTGGACTTTTTTGTGTGAATTTTGATGGATAGTAGTTTGGGTAGAATTTGTGGATTTTGTGATGAAACAACAATGGAAAAAAAGGATAAAATAAAAAAGATAATTATGAATATAAAATAAAATAAAAGATAATTATTGGAGTAAATAATAAATGGACATGAGTCTATTAATGGATATATGGATATGAAATCAAGAACGAGATTGTTTGTGAATTTGGATGTGAAATGGATGGGAAATAGGTTACGGGAACGAATATGAGTAATGGTAATGCATCTCTATGCTTGAACAACACTTGAATCCTCGAAAAATGAACTTGAATGCCATAACTCTTGAATTAAGTCGAAGAAAATCCTCCTCGAACCATCTTCTAATTATTGACATCACAACCTTAATTCCACCTTGAAATAGTATGAACTGAATAACAAGCCTGATTTGTTTGGATCAATATCAAGAACCTGAACCACACAACTAATATTTGTACACCACTCTAAATGTACCAACAACTTTAACCTCTTTAAAGGCTCTGCATCTTGACTTCAACTGGCAACTTGAATTGGCACGAAACCCTAGTCTGATAATTGTCAGATATAAAACACTGATCAACGCTAAACTCAACTTGAAACAAATTCTTCTTTCTTGACCAACATCAGACTATTGTGCACATACACTTAACCTGCTAGCCTCCAGTGAAACTCTACTAAATGATATTTGCCAATTGTAAATAGCAAAGGGTGGGAAACCCTAATATACCAAAATCTTGTTTCAGGATCTTTCCAGTCAAGTCACTGATGAACCTCGAACAAACTACACCCTCGTGGACATTCAGAGAATTGAAGTCGCGCCTTGGTAAACCTCAGACAGGAACTAATCATGACAATTGAAAAACCAACACCTCTGCCTCGAACTTGAGTACAATAACTGAAAGAGACATCCTCTGAACAAAGGAAATCCAATTTAATAGAAAACTTCCAACCCCACATCTTCTTAGCTTAACTAATGGATGACCTATCCAAAATCCTAATTCTCTGACCCTTGAAGTCTCCTGAGGCAAACCCTGATTCCATAGGTGAAACAAAGCAAAACAAAAGCTGATAAGTGGTTAATTATACAATAATGATTGACCTAGAATGATATGCGAAAGATCAAAGAATCTGAGGGTAAAATTTGGAGTATGATAGTATGTCTTAATATTTTGTCACGAGAGTGAAGAGAAAACTAAGGTTCGAGCCGATAGCGCGAGAATGAGATGATTTAACCAGATAGTGGGAACTAGGCATTAATCCTAAAAACATGAGAGCACTTTAGGTATCAATTAGGATCTAATTGATTTTTAAAATACACTTTCTAATTAAAATAGACAAGTGAAAGCAAAATCTCATGGTTAGGGAGTGTGACTTTAGTCAATAGCGCGAGAGTGTGAGACAGAGTGTTTAAACCAATATTTTCTACGAAACGCAGTTTAATTATAATTAGTGCCTAAAATCTACAGGGTTTATTAGGAACACAAAATCCATATTTCGGCCTCTTTTTATGATTATTTCCAAACCTTCAGTAAATTACGTTTTTATTTCCATCTGAATCTTTTTAACCTTTAGCCTTAGCTTTACATAGCATCAACCGATAACGGTAGATTGATTATTAGTCCATCTGGGTTCGATATCTTTTAAAACTACGATAGAGTGTATAGTTGCAGTTAGATCATCTGATAGACTCGTAAAGTCGCGATCATTAGTGAGGTACCAAATATTATACATTTTCTTGATATTTGATATATTGTCGGGTCGCTTCTGTTTCAATGTTGCAAGAATGTTTTTCGGTTAAACAAGATTCAAGGTCGTGTCACTAATACATTCATTCTCTTCTGGCTTGAGTCGACAGACACTAGGATGACCGACTAATTTTAAACACAAATCATGATTATACAAACCACATATCACATTAAGTCTCCAATTTTTATTTGCCAACATGTAACCACGAAGCTTAAACGAATACTCACATTTTCTACTACCTGTGTCGTCTCTTTTAAAATTTCGGAGAGGATTCGATATTTCCCGCTTCTTTCGGACACCATTGTCTCAAAAGTGCATCTTCTATCCGAACCATTATCAGACCTTTCAATAACCATACCAAAACCAAGTTTAGAGGCCTCCATACAAATCCATTCAAACATTTTATCACGAGATTCAAACTCTTACTTGTTTTTAAATTCGTTGTCAACATCTACCGCCTTCACGACAACTCCTTGAACATTCAGAGAAACAACTTGTTTTAGGAAAACATCGGGGTGTACCATATCTATTAAAAACAATTAAAACAATAATACAATACTAGTTCAATTATTGCTGCAGAATGACTAAAAAAATAAACACAAACAACTTTTAGAAATGCATCTCCGGACAAGTCCATATACGTTCCAGAGATACATTTTCGAATACAACGTAAGTTTTAATGATTATTAATGTGAATAATATAGAGGAAAAAAGAACAATCTTTACCTAAATTCTATCTTCTTTTATTCTCTGTGATATGTTGAACCAAAAGGATGAAGATTTGGAGTGAAAAATGAATTGAGAATGAAGAGTTTTTAGGATGAAGGGTTTGATTGAGAATGAAGTATGACAACAATGGACGGGTGATCATGCAACCGAAGTTATATCAATTATTTTCGGAGATGCATCTTCGGAAATACCTGACATGCAAAGGTGATAGAAAATTTCAAAATACCGCCTATAATTCTGGAGATGAATCTTCGAAATATTTATTGAACTGAACAATTAAAATGTTTTTTTTTAAATGTTCTGAAAATGTATCTCCAGAATATCTACGTAATTAAATAATTAAAATATTTTTTTAAATATTTATTAGAGATATATCTCCGAAATAAAACTAATCTAATATATGTGGTGTAACTCAAAAAATCTTGATTGAATATGAAAAAAATGCGTCTGATGATATATCTTTGAAACCTAAAGATAGGTATGAAAATTCAAATGATGCGTTAAAAGTATACATGGTGTAATAAGAAACTCACAAATAAAATAGGAGAGAACCTATTTAGATTACAAGCTAGGGGTAAGAAGTATGTAAAGAAGAATTAGAACATTGGTGGAAGTAGCAAAAACACACACGTTTGGGCAAAGCGTGTGGTGGTTTCCGAAAAGTAGAAGGCAACAGCTGTTATACGAAGGCACTAATTTTCAATTTCGGGGCATCGTTGGCACTGTACCCCTTTCCCCTTCCTTGTCAGCGAAGCCATCACTCGCCATTATTGTTGCTACTCAACCACCCAACGTCTCTTCTCCAATCATCCCTCTTCTCTCACAATTCATCGCATTCAATTTTCCCGGATCTACTCCATTTTTCGCCATCCCTATTTTTCGTCGATTTTGGCTAGGGTTTACGCGTTTTATTAATCTCAATTACGGAAGAGAGCTTGGCCAGAATGGGGGTACTGGTTCCGGTTTTCTTCTATGTTATCGCTTTCTTTTGCACCGTTGGAGCCATCGGTTTGGCGATTCTTCATATATACAAGCATCTTCTGAATTACACTGAACCTACTTACCAGCGTTACATTGTTCGCATCGTTTTCATGGTTCCGGTGAGTTCTAAGGGATTTCATTTGAATTGTTCACGTTTTTTGTTGTTTATGAATTGTTCAAGACTAATTGTATTGGTGCATTTTATTAGTTGGGGTGATTAGTTTTTATTAGCTAAGGTAATTAAATATTAACCTAACCCTAAATGTGTTAGAGTTGAAATGTTAAGTTACTTTCATTATTTTCACTTAGTTGAGGGGTTTTTGAACTTCTTCTTATATGCAAACTTGAGCGCTCGAAAGGAGGTGAAGGGATTTGGATTAGAGTTCATTGTGTTAACATAGAAAGTTGTAAATTGTGGAACTTTTTGCGAGCTTATTGAGTGGCTTACCCATGTTTGACCTATTTGGTTCTGTACAGACTGTGTCTACTTGCTGTATTTGATATGCTTAAAGACAGTGTTTTCCTATTGCTTAGTAATTGTAATTTGTAGCACCGACACTTCTGAAAGAAATGTGTGTCTGTTAGTATTGGTGTCCGAAACCAAGACCGACCCTTGTGATTACGTTTAATTTATTCATTTTTTCAAATTATTACTGGTGTCGTGTTTCCGGTGTTCCTCTCTGTGTTTCATGGAATGTAAATGCGCACACATGTATGATTTGTGTGTTTTTCCATTGTTCTTTGATTTCTTTTATTAGGTCTTTTGTTTTCTTCTTCATTTTCATATCATTGTGCTCTTGAAATATTAATGGGAATACTCCTAGTTTTTGTTCTGTGACATTTCTTTGTATAATTCATTTCAAATAGGTATATACTAAGCATTACTTTAATTTTCTTTGGCAGGTTTATGCGCTGATGTCATTTATGTCCCTTGTTTTACCGGGGAGTTCAATCTATTTTAATTCAATCCGGGAAGTGTAAGTTATATGTGTTTCCGTATTTACCAGTTTACTTTTGTTGTTGCCGATATTTAGGCTGAATAATTCTTTCAGAGTAGTATATTTTGTTCGGTCCTGTTTCATGGTTAACACGTTGGTTGTGATTTAGGTTATTAAATGATTACCACTGATATATTATATGATGATAATTTGTCATTTTATAAAACACATGACTTCATGAAGATTTAAGGTTCTAGGCGTCTCTTTCTGTTGAGAAATCCCTTGAAGTGTATATGTTGAACACTGTAGTCTAAAACCATGCTCTAGATAGAGTGCATCTAGTCCTTCAAGTTCATTGTTTTCTCATGGAGTATATCTGAACATTTATAATATGGGTACATTTATGTTTACCTTGTTAGCGAGTAGATGCTAGAGTTGTAAGAAGCTATCACAAGAATGGGAAGGCGATTCCTCCCTTCATTTACCATTTAATGTGATTCCACTCTTCTGTATCTTTTTTTTGCTAATCAGCTTACTTTTAATTCTGAAATCTAAGTTAACCATGCTAACTGTTTGTCCTAGATTTGAAAATTATGAATTCTGAGATATATATCGATTAGCCAGGTTCAATTTGTTAATCATTTTCTCTTGTTTACTGTTTCAGCTACGAAGCTTGGGTCATTTACAATTTCCTTTCACTTTGTCTAGCATGGGTTGGTGGTCCTGGATCAGTTGTTATAAGTTTGAGTGGCAGGGTTATGAAACCATCAGTTTGTCTAATGACTTGTTGCATTCCTCCCATACCGTTGGATGGGTGAGTTTGCATTTGATCCTTTGATGTTTTTTCCGTAGGTTTTTCAGATTACTTTTTTTTATTTAAAAAAACTGTAAGAGGCTAGAATGACATATGTGGCCCATGAAATGGAAAATTGTTTTTATAGATTATTGGAAAATCACCTACACATCCCAGAGAAGCAACATATTGTGATACAGATTTGTAGCATATTGGCATGATCGTCATATCATAACTAATTCTAAATTTTCATTTCGTCAACTTCCATTGTAGGCGTTTCATACGTAAATGCAAGCAAGGGTGTTTGCAGTTTGTGATCTTGAAGCCCATTTTGGTTGTTGTTACACTTATTCTCTATGCTAAGGGGAAATACAAGGATGGAAATTTCAGTCCAAAGCAGTCATACTTGTATCTTACGATCATCTACACGTTCTCGTATACAATGGCCCTCTATGCTCTTGCACTGTTTTATGTGGCATGCAAGGATCTGCTTCAGCCATTCAATCCAGTCCCAAAGTTTGTTATCATAAAGTCTGTTGTATTCTTGACTTATTGGCAGGTAATTTTTATACATCTTTCATTTTTATGGTCTATTTTTTTCTCATATTTACGGCACTATCTTGTTACTGGTTGTAATGTGATGCTAGAGATGAACAGGAAAAGAATCTTAATGTTAATTTCATGTAAAATGAGTATTACTCTTCTATAAGGATGCCTTATTTGATCTTAAGATGACCAATAACTTGTTTGGAGCTGTTGGAGATAGAATATATGAATTATTTTTCCACTATCTAAGTAGTGTTAGAAATCATTGTATGTTAGGAATTGGAGTTAGCTTATTTACTTTTCTTGTGAATTGTATTTTTTTATGTTTTATTTGATCTTAAGATGATCAGTATCATGTTTGGAACTGTTATAAATATAATATATGAATTATTATTCCACTATCCAAGTAATGCTAGAAAACATTGTATGTTAGGAATTGGAGTTAGCTTTTTTTTATTTTTATTATTTTTTTTTATTTTTTTAATTTTAATTTTTGTATGTAAATATCTTTCAGCTGACTGTGTTTTCATTTCAACACTCAAAGTGGATTTGATCCTGCCTCTCATTTTCACTTCCGTTGTATAGTTCAGCCTCATCAAGGCTGGGCTCTGTTCTGAATCTCTACCTATCTCTGATAAGGCTAAGCCTCAGTTGTGTTCCTTTTTCCTCATTCCAGCACATACCCCCATCCATTGTTATTTGTCAGTCTATTTTCTTTCTGCCGTGTACTTCCATCCAGCGATTTTTCATCCGTAAATAGACCATCGTTACTTAGACATTCCTCTCCATTTGTAGAAGTTTTCAGAAGTCACATCAACTGCCATCAACTGCCATCCCATCACTTGTCTACCTCTTGAGTCTGTTCTGGGTCTCATGTTTCTCTCTAGTTTGAGCGGTGGGTCTTAGTATTATGCTAATCCCCTATTATATGTAACTTTATGTCTCGGTCCCTTTTTTCATAGGATGGTCTGATAAGAGTAAAAGGGGTCCTATCTCTTTCTGTTGCCTCTAAAAAGCTAAATGGAAATTAATTATTATGGACCCGTGCTCGGATATAAAAGCCTGATTTATGGGTCAGTAAATTTTTATCATTTGACAACCCAGGCCTCATTAAAGGACGTGTGGCAATAAGTTGATCTGTCACTTTGTATCATTGTTTTGGCAATGTATTGATCCATTTCTTTTGGTTCACTACTGTTCTTATTAATCTTATGAAAATTGGAGGAAGGATAAGAATATTTATGCTAATGATGTCCAACCTCTGATGCTGTCCATAATTAGGAAAATCTTCAAATGCACTGTCATGATTCAAATCTCCTAGTTGAACAAAGCTTTTTCTGCCATCCAGCAAGTGAAGATGATGGTTATGACTGACAATGACCCTTGAAAGGTGTCGGATAAGTTAGATCAAATGCACATGGTTTTCTTTTTCATGGCATACATAAGGATTTAAAAAATGTTAGAAATCAAGTTCTTGGCAAACTGAATTTTAATCCAGTGGAGGAGCTGCTTGACTGTTTATTTTGAGTTCCATTGACTAAAAAATCTGTCGAGTCTGCCTCTTACGTAGTTTTACATACATGAAGGATGAGGATGCCGTGGACATGGAAATGGGGTGTTCATGGTTGGTAAATCAGCCACAATCTTTTTTGCAAATGAATGTTCACATTCAATATTGATGCTATCTTTTCATTGGTCTATAGGAAAACATAAAACATGTTTGTGTTAGACCTCTTATAAAGAATATTTATAAGAGGAGAGGGTGAACATAATGTGGGCAGTAGGCAGTTATTCATTTTTATTAACAGTTTCTGTTTTTTAATAATCAATAGTTAGTAGCAGTTATGAGGCAGTTAGGGATGATGTGAATATAAAATAAGGAAACTGCATGTTAGAGGGTATTCAGAAAATATTTGAGTGGTTAATTGGAAAGGGAGAGATCCAAGGCTCTTGAAATCCTTGGTACAACTCACATGTGTTCTGTGTGACATTTCAATTTTGTAATCCTGTGTGCATTTGTTTTCTGTCTCTGTTTGAGATATTTTCTCCAGAGAATGTTCAATAAATCTCTATTCTTATTCAGTAAATATATTCTTGATACCAGTTTCTATTAGTTTGCTCAAGTGTTGGATGTCAAAGAGAATGATGATATTCATCAAGAAAATAAGTTTTACAATAACGGTATAAGTATCTCAAGTTAAAGGCTGCTTGCTGAAGTAGCGTCTCTTACTCAGTGTCCTAATATAGTGATTCCTCATTTTGTTTTTCTCAGTTTTTTATATCTAGATTTTGGACTCTTGTGTCCTGAATCATATTGTTGGCGTCCTTCCTCTTTATCAAACTTATCTGCCATTAAAGCTTCTCATTTTGTTACACTTGTGAATAGTTCAAAAGTTAAAACCACCGACATTAGTCAAATCAGATGTTATGAGCGGAGAGTCGGGTTCTGCTAAGCAGAAAAGCCTTCTCTAATCTAACGGGTTGGTTCAAAATAGGAATGGATTTCGAGGCTAGTGATTGAAGAAAACTCTTTCCTTTCCTCAAGATTAGCAATATGGAAAATCTAGCATGAAGGGTTTTTGACTAAATTAAGGGCTCCTATTTCATTCCGTGCTGGACTGATCGATATACCAATAATGAAGTCTTCAAATCTCTTCACTCCCTCAAATTTGGATTCTATCATTCTCATTTGTTGTATTGTAGTCCTTTCTATTTAGTATCAATTAGTTGGCCATCTCACTCTGAATCTTTCAATGTTTAAAATTCTTTTTTTTTACCGTTTCTTCGCATACATAATACACTAGCCAAAGTACCAGACAGATGATAGACACACTTTGAATCATGTGAATTTTATCATCTCAACTATTGTCATCAACACTTTCAAGATTTTTTACTTTCCTAATTTTATTTAAAATTCTAAGCTTATTTAGAGCCATAGTAATAAATAATAAAAGGAAAGTTGTGATGAGATCTAATTTAGAAGTTTGAAGAAGCCTTTAGCTTATGTGTTAGCTTGTTGCTTATTTTATTGTATTTACTTTTTACACTAGAAGTTTGAAGTAACATGACTTTTTGTTTTTCATTTCTTAGGGGGTGCTATTCTTTCTTGCTGCAAAGTCGGGATTCATCAAGGATGCTGATGAAGCTGCTCTACTTCAAAATTTTATCATTTGTGTTGAGATGCTTATTGCTGCTGTGGGCCACTTTTATGCATTTCCGTACAAAGAATACGCTGGGGCTAATATAGGGGGATCCCGTGGTTTTTCTGCTAGCCTTGGGCATGCTGTGAAGTTGAATGACTTTTACCACGATACTGTCCACCAGGTGAGCCTCACTTCCTATGTTCTGTGACTTCTGTCCATATTTTATAGAGAATTGTTAGCAACACATTTATAATTCTGAGGAGTTGAAAATTTTGGCCTTGTTTTTCTCTTCCAATTAATAATCTGATATTACTCAACTTTGTGGCAGTTCGCACCAACATATCATGATTATGTTCTCTATAACCACAGTGAAGGGGAAGAAGGAACAAGGAAGTATAGGTCAAGAACATTTGTTCCGATTGGCCCAGAGATGGATAACGTGAGAAAAAATAAGCATATGATTGGCAATAAGGTAGATGACATACAGCTGGTAAGCTTATCTTCTGCTAGTAGTACTCCCTCAAATTCTGTCTCATTGCCTGACACTTCAAACTCCGATGCACTCAAATCTTCCTTGCTTCTGGACGTCTCCAATTCTGGGTCCATACCATATGATCTGACACTTATAGACTTGGATGTATCCAGTTACCCTGAAAAAGTTCCTGCAGCTGATAAAGCTGATGCTAGGTGATGATCATAAGGAACATTAAGAACTAAGTTGGTTGGGTAAATGTTATTGCTATAGAGAGGGTATGGGCATCCAACATTTTTTGTTGACTCAGAGTGAACTATGATCCAAGTGTGGTTTCTTACATACCAGGAAAGGATTTAAGCAGACCGTTTGCCACCATACGCATGCGTGTTAATCTATATTAAAAAATCCGTTGTCAGCTCCATTCCCAAGCAAACAAAACAGTCCTTGTTATTGGTCTTGGTCTTCATTCTGTAATTGTCTGTGTTGGTTGTGTCCTATCACCTATGTGCAATTGTAGATACAGAACTTGTTTGTTGACATATGAGAATTTCAAACTCGACTGATGCTCAAGAAATTTGACTTAGTATTAAATTTATTGATTCTTTTCTTCTACTATGTGCTATTAATATTTGGGTTCTTGTTGGTTTAATGCCTATAGCCATTGTCATTATTTACACCTTTGGCATCTTGTTGTATTTATGTTTTGATATTACATATATTATTGACTATGGGTTTCTTTCATCATTAGTCGTTAAACCAAATTTAATTTAGTTTGATATTGAAACCCTAAATACATGTTTTTTGACTTCAGTTTAGAAAAATGGACTTAAGTTGTATAAATAAATAAGACTGATCAAATGGTACAACTCATAAATCTAGAAACCAACAAATGGATGTTTTATAAACTTGGAAGAAAGAGCATAATGTAGAGGCTCGTAGTAATGGTTGAAGTCGCAGTTAATGTAGAAAGTTAGCTGTACCTATCCAATCCAAAGAGAGAACTGAGCTCAAATATGATTATCTAACTTTTCAAACGAGCAAGCACCTCGTTATATTGATACGCCACCCACCTTGCGTACCATATGCTTACAAAATCAATTTTCATTGTTATTTCTATAATATAATGCACTGATCATCAATGGAGTATAATCAAAGGCATTACTTTTAAAGCTATTTTGTTACATGAAGTGTACTTGTAGAAAGATGATGGATATATACATATTTGTCGTGACTGTATTTATTGTAACACGAGATGACTTAAGGTTAGACCGGTTATAATATTACAAAAGCATTTGACCCCACAGGATGGAAGATGGACAATAACCTTACCAAACCTAACCATTTGGAATGGAAGTCATGAAGGCAACAAAAATATGATGCAACAAACCATGTGACTGTCTTAATGACGACTCACGCATCAAACAATGGTTATGCTTACGCACAGAAAAATAACATACTCCTAAAGATGAAAAACAAAAATAATAAAGAGAAAATAGTTTTGTTTCAAATCTAAATGATTAAATATTAAGAATCCTAAGTTAAATAGATAAAAAAAACTTCAGTATAATACTTACGTCATCAAGTTCTTTCTCACAATAAATTATTTTTTTGTTGGGCTCTAACATAAATAAGTGGTAGGATATTTATGTTAGAACACAGATTGGTTCTTAATAATATCTCTATGTTTTGATGATAACTATTATGAAATTTTGTATTTAAGAATTATATACTCTAAAATTTTGCTTGAGAGTTTTTACTGCAGATAGTAAAGAAATTAACACTCCAGAAGCAAATTAGAATTGAACTCAAGAAATTAGCTAGACTCTGTAGCGCCAGATGCATACATTAGAAGATTCTGATTGCTGCCTCTAGAAGATTCTGAGCGTAGCCTCCAGAAGATTCTGAAGCAGAAGCTCCAGAAAGATCTGAAGCAGAAGCTCCAGAAAGATCTGAAGCAGAAGCTCCAGAAGAATCTGAAGCAAGTCAGAAGCATCTGAAGCAAAGAAGAATTTTTGTATGAAGAGTTTTTCAAAGCATAGTTTCTACAGAAGTTTCTGAAAGTACTAAAGCTGCCAGTACTGAAGTTCTGTCTCAAATATGCTCTGATATTAAACACGCTGAAAGCACACCTGCTGCAGAAGACTCTGACTCAGCAAGACTCTGATCATCATTAGAAGACTCTGACCCAATCAGACTCTGATGAACTTGCTGAAAACTGAAGAAGAAGTATTCAAAAATTATATCTGTTGGAGTAAATCAAACGTCTTTTTCCTTATTTATGCTAGACACAAGAACACAGACAAAAATAATTTTTCTGTGCTTTCTTCTTCTAGGAAAGGTCACTTGATGTGAAGACAAAAAGGCTCAGACCTTTTGGACACTCTTCTCAACGTGCAGCTCACATTGGATCAGCTGCCTATAAAAGTAAGACTCCACCAAATTCTTCAGTTGACGTTTTGTTGAAAAGAAATCAAAAACATTCAAGCTCTCATACTTTCATATTCTTTCTAAGAATTTATTTCATTGTACTTAAACTTAAGAGAAATATCACAGTTGTGATAAAAGCTTTTTAGAAGCATTCTTACTCTTGTAATAGTTTTACATTGATTGTAAAGATTTCCTTAAGAGGATTCAGTTGGAATCAGTAACTCTTGAGAAGACTAAAAACAGTTGTTCTTAGGTGTTACTATTGTAATCTGTTTGATTAAATAGTGGATTAAGTCCTTGATTGAGAAAGGCAAATCACTCTAGGAAGGGTGGACTGGAGTAGTTGAGTTCAACAAACCAGGATAAAAATACTTGAGTTTTTATTCTAAGTTTTAATCTTTCATACTTATTCAACCCCCCTTCTAAGTATTATCTCACCTTCAGTTGGCATCAGAGCTCCGGTTCTGTGTGTGCTACCACTTAACAGTGACAGTAAAGATCCAGAGAGAAATACTTTGATATATATTTGGTTGTTACTATGGCTGATAATACAATATCTAACACTAACAACAAATATGAAGAAATGGACAAAATCAGCACCAAACCCCCTATGTTTGATGGGGAGAAATTTGATTACTGGAAAGACAGAATTGAAAGTTTTTTCCTTGGATATGATGCTGATTTATGGGATCTAGTCATAGATGGATATGTTCATCCCACAGATGGGAATGACAAGAAGATAGACAGAAAATCTATGACAGATGCTCAGAAGAAAGATTTTAGAAATCATCACAAGGCCAGAACAATATTGTTGAATGCAATATCTCATACTGAGTATGAAAAAATTACAAATAGGGAAACTGCATTTGACATGTTTGAATCCTTAAAGATGACTCATGAGGGAAACTCTCAAGTCAAGGAAACAAAGACTCTGGCTCTGATCCAGAAGTATGAAGCCTTCAAGATGGAAGACTCTGAATCTGTTGAAGCTATGTTCTCTAGATTTCAGATCCTCACAGCTGGTCTAAAGGTTCTGGACAAGGGATACTCCACATCAGATCATGTAAAGAAAATCATCAGAAGTCTACCTACCAGATGTAGACCTATGGTGACAGCGCTGAAGATGGCTAAAGATCTGAACAAGATCTCTTTAAAAGAACTCATCAGCTCACTGAGGAGCCATGAAATTGAGCTTGAGGAAGATGAACCTCAGAAGAAAGAAAAAGATAAATCTATTGCTTTAAAATCTATTAAGTCTGCTAAAGCTTTGAAGGTTATTGAAGAAAGCTCTGAAGGATCCTCTTCTGAAGAAGAAGATGAGTTATCCATGCTGTCCAGAAGGATCAACAGACTCTGGAAGCACAAGGGAAAGAAGTTCAACAACTTCAGAAAACCTAATCATAGAAAGGAATCTTCTGGGCACAGAAGATCTGGCAAGAAAGAAGTTGTATGCTATGAGTGCAAAGAACCTGGGCATTACAAGAATGATTGCCCCAAACTTCAAGGAGAAAAACCCAAGAAGAAGTTTAACAAAAAGAAGAAGGTTCTGATGGCAACATGGGATGACTCAGATGAATCTGAATCATCTTCTGAATCAGAAGAAGAATGTGCTAATATTGCACTGATGGCCAGCACAGAAGATCAGGAAGAAGGAACTTCAGGATCTGAATCTGATTCTGAATCTGACGATGACGCTGAAGAGGTAATGGCTAAACTTACTAAATAAGAACTTGTCAAAGTTTTATCAGAAGTTCTGAAAAGCTATAACAATATCAAACTCAAATACAAGAAGCTGAAAAGCAGTCTTGAATCTGAGATTGATCTTCTGAAGACAGAACTTGTTGAGCAAAAAGAAATTAATTTGAAAATCAAAAATGACTTTGAAATAACTCAACAAGAATCTGAATCTGAGGCTAAGTCATGTGAAAACATTTTAGAAAAATATGACTCTAGCTTTCAGAGATTTCTTACTAAGAGCATAGACAGAAGTAATATGGCTTCTATGATCTATGGTGTTAGTGGGAACAACAGAAGAGGTATTGGATATGAATCTTCCTCTGGAAGTAATCTAAAATCTGTTGACAAACTCTTCATCAAGAAGACACCTCTGTACTCTCAATTTAAGTTTGGTCACTTAAATGACATTAAACACACAAGCTCTGAGAAGAATACTTATGTGTTTAAACCCAAGGCAAGTCAGAATAAACATTATGTTGAAAAACAGAAGTTTAGACAAACCTACAAACCAACTAACCCTAAAGGACCCAAGAAGATCTGGGTACCTAAAAGTAAAATAATTTCTGTTGCAGATGTTCTTAGCAGCAAGGTCAGGACGCCAATCATGGTACCTGGACTCTGGATGCTCACGACACATGACAGGAGAAAAGTCTATGTTCCAAAGCTTGGAACTTAGATCTGGAGGTGATGTGAAGTTTGGAGGGAACCAGAAGGGCAAGATCATTGGATCTGGCACCATTGGAAATGGTAAACTTCCCTCTATTACTAATGTTTTACTTGTTGAAGGGTTAAAGCATAACTTATTGTCCATAAGTCAATTAAGTGACAATGATTATGATATTACCTTTAATCAAAAATGTTGTAAAGCTATTAGTCAAAAGGATGGCTTTATCCTATTTAGTGGTAAGAGGAAAAACAACATTTATAAAATAAATCTTTCAGAACTTAAAGTTCAAAATGTTAAATGCCTCTTGTCTGTTAATGAAGAGCAATGAGTCTGGCACAGAAGATTCGGCCATATTAATATGAGACGTATATCTCAGATTAATAAA